GTAACCCCAAACTGTCAGCGGGTCTTCAGACAGTGCTGCGCTAGATTCCTCCAGACGTGTTATGTCATGAACGAATTCTTCAAGTGTAGTTGGGCCTTGTCAGAAGTGTACAAGGTCTAAAAATAAGCGCGGCTCTCTTCTAACTTTTTTGTACATTGCTGATTCATTGTCCTGTTCGGTGAGCTCAAGCCGCATTGTTCTGAGCGTTGTGCCGATTGTTTTTGTCCAGAGCATGAAGTATTTTGTGCCATTTTCTGCAAACTGTCACCAGTTCGTGCTGAATCACGTGTTACTTTTAGGGTAAGTATAGCCACTAGTTCGTCACGCTTTGTTAAGCTCCTCTGTCGTTCCAGCCGGTTGGGCGTCGTTTACTGCACTATTTATTTCGGCCTCTAGTTCACTGAGCTTTATTTCGGCAGCTCTTTTTTGTGTGTAGCTTACTGTACAGCCCCGCAGGACACAAAGAACGGGGGCTCGCAGGATAATCCATTTAATCTCATCAGACTTATCTTGAATTAACTTGCGACGAATTATTCTACTTTTTTACCATTATCTTTACTATCATTGACTTGATCTTCTTCACAAACGTGTCATCGTTAAGCAGGGAATCATTAAACTTCCAGAAAGATCTGCCTCTTGTTGTACGTCCCACACCGATGGTCAGATTACACGTACTGTGATCAGTCAAGCATCCGTCCGCGATCGAAGCCAAAGGCGATAGCTCTTCCAGTGAGCATTTGTTTGCCAAGAAGACTCAATCCTTGGCTTGCTGGGTTGGCTGGATCTATGACAGGTATATTGCTTAGTGCCTGGATTTAAGGTTCTCCATACATCTATCAGGTAATTTTCAGTCATATACTGCGTGACTAGCTCCTTGTACCAAGTAGGGTTTGATGTGTTTCGTATTGTACTCTGCCAAGCGCCCCAATAAAGTAAAAGTTAGTCTCCCCGTATGTCATAATCACTGCTCAATTCATCACAGCGGTCGAGAAAGGTCCCAAAAGTGATCGCTGTGTCGTTATTTGGCTCGTGCACGCAACCGAAGGTGAACTGGGTGCCATTAATGACCACCTGTAAGGCGATAAAACGTCTCAGTCAGCGCACTCCCGATCTGTTTCACACTGACCGCAAACCGCGACCCGAAGAGGGCGGCACCACCTCTAGTTCTGCTGTCGCCGTGAGAGAAGCAACCAACGCCACCCCATTCATTCAGCCAGATAGTTACATCTGATTGAACGAAGTGGGTTTCGGAATATATCCGCTTGCTGCTTGTTGAGCCCAGCAAAATGCGTTTTGCGTCTCTAGCGCACGCCCCCGCTCACGGTAGCTTTGGCCATTTTACGTTTAATGTTATGAAGATTTAACCCACGCCTTTATTTCCCGATATGACTGGTTGATCGCGCCTTTGTAGCGTTTTAGTTCTGATCTGTTTGCGAATAGTTCTTGGTGCACATTTGGGGTGGGGGGGGGAGGGAGTGGGAGCATGTATCTGGTAAGTGATGCTGTAAGTGTGGTTAGTGCGTATGTGCGGCAAACTGTGTGAGGAAAAATATACAAATACTCGCAGCAAGCATGTACATCACTTTGCATTAGTGTGGCGGGAACTGCTCGTGTTAATTGAGGCCGTCGTGCGTTCAGTATCGTTTGAGAGTGAAACAAGGAGCGTCATATCCCTAACTACATAAACGCACCTATGATAGGTGCTGACCGCCTGTGTAGGCGTACGAGCGGCCTTGCCGGCTAGAGTGTCAGTGATCAATCTATCCGAGGTGCCGGATTGCCCGGTGAGCCCCAGCGCGGCGGCCCGCGCTGTCGCCGCCCGGCGGGGCGCGGCCGACAGGCCCGGGCACAGCCACGCATACAGCACACGCGCTGGCGCTGCCGGCGCCGAGCGCGAGCCCGCCGGACGCACGCGGCTCGCCGCACGGGCGGGCAAAGGCTCCGGACCAGCGCCATTACCGGGTTGCGCACAAAATAAACAGATTAGGTACTTATGTCAAGCAAACTACTGTGTAGCTTAAAAGTTGCCGCGATACTGGCGAAACAAAGGGAACAACGAATGCGTAGGCACGACGCCGCTCTATGCAACATAAGCACAACCAATCTGCGACTGGCCCGACACGCCGACCACCAAATCGACTCACGGTGACACGATCGGCACTCGGCGGCTTGAACAGGACTGCGCTTGACACATTGTCATTTACGAGAGTAACGTTTTTTGATTTTGTCCACGGTGTCGACCAGTTCGTTCTGGAACACTTGGGTCGTGTCGCAGTTACACGAGGCCGTTTGGACTGAACACACGCTTTACAGACGACCCTCTTTCTTGTGCGCGGAGCAGCTTATTAAACATATCTCGTTTTCGTTATTACGTCAAGCTTTCCGCTAATGAGAATTTGGTTCGCTGTCCTCGCGCTTATCCTCACCGACATTCTGTTTCGTGGAGGTAGCGCTTGAGAGGCCCCGGACCCGTGCGGACGAACCTGCAGAGTAGCACCTGGCGCCGATGCGGCGAAACGTTCCGTCACTTCGCCCGGGTCTGCCTCTGCCCGTAGGAACGCGCGCCGCATGGCGCCACAGGCAGACCCGCCTCAGGTCCTCTGGCCGGCAGTCAGCGGCGGAGCCAGAGCGAGGTGCCGGGGGGGGGGGGGGAGGGGGAGGCAAGGACGCCTTCCCAGACCAGATGAGCTCAGACGATTTGCACTGCATGTCTTTGGCCTCTGCTTCCCATTGGATTTTTATGTTTCGAGGCATTCGCTTGATCGCTGAGTTTTCTAATAGGCCGTCACGTTCCGCGACGTAGGATCCGCGATAAAATATCCGTCACTTTTGCTCCAGCTTGGCTTTTTAGGATATCCAACTTTGGTTCGATTCCTGGACGCCAAAGACAGTTCTTTTCTCATCTCAATAAAGAGCGATTCTAGATGCATGGCATGTTCTGCTTTGATCAGCTTTCTTCAATTTGGAGCATAACAAGCTCTCACTTGTTAAGCCACCTGAATTTCGCGACCGCTTCTGACGTTGTTGTCTCACCTCACCGGCTTCTAACTTTTAGGCAACATATTTTTAACAGTCTCTGTGAGTTCCCTAACTTGTCAGTCACCTCGTCCGGGTCGACGAACACATCACTGTCCCCAGTCGTCAGTCATGCTTTAGCGCAGAAAAGTCTCACTCACCCATCTCAGTTCTAGCTGGAGAAACCACCGACTTGCACACGATTCAGAGCCACCATGTGTGAAATCGTAGGGTGCCAAAATCGCGTTCACTTTACAGACGCCTTCGTTGGAATCGCTAGCCGACACCGGCCTCGACACAGGCGCACATTGGCATCGACACCATCTATCCATTGACACGAAAGCAGGTCGGAGCCGCGCGGCGGAGCGCGAGAGAGAGCGGCCGGCCCGGGCTAAGTTCAGGCTTGCTGAGATGCGTTGATGCCGATTATACCTATGATGCTGTTGCTGTGGACAACTCGGTGCTGTAGCCTGAGCTGTCCCGAACCTGGCGGGGACAACAACCGTCAGCCGAGGCTAGTGGCCTGCCAGGAGACCGCATTACCATTTGGGCGGAGATGACGGTGTTGGAGGTGCAGGTCATAGTGGCGACCGTTCTGCTGCAGGCGGTGTCATACACATTCTTCACTCAACCACTGGCACAATCACTCGCACCACCTGCAACACTTCGCGCTGCAGGTGTGTGATTGCGGTGTTGGGCCCAGGTCGTATTGGACTCTGACCAGAAGGCGTGACATAAAGGAGGAGGGCACAAAGAAGCTTCCTGATCAGTGGTGATGACACGCTGGTTCAGTGACTGCCTGCGGCGCTGAAGCGTTGTTGAAAGTTGACACGGGTTTGTATTGTGGCTGATTTGGAAATCTGATCTCATGCATTTGTCGATAGAAGTGGGTCGAACCGCAGTGGATGTGTCGTTCTGCTATGGATCATGTTTTATCGTTCTGATTGAGATGTGTCATTTTCCTGTGCTGTGGTTTAATAAGTTTGTTTGCAACGCTAATCTGGAAGTTTTGTTTTTGTCTTCAGCGTATGTCAACGGAGATGCGTCGTTCTACCATGGAATGCGATGCTCTTCTGTGGAGTGTGTTCCTCTGCTATATGATTTCAGCTGTGGGTTACGTCGTTCTGCTGTACTGTGTTCTGACGGCGCGACATTGTGCTGTAATGCGTCTCCGGTGCATGTCGATGGAAACGCGCCCGTTTCGTTGTGGATGGGTAAATCTGCTGAGATACGTCGTTCTGCTGTTCTTGTCGCTGGTGCGGGTCGATGTCGATAGAGATACGTCCACAGATCACAAGCAGAGATTTATTACATAATCGCATATTCCAAGTTTATCAACACGATGACTGAAAAAGGGGTGAGACCCTCGAGAGCGCTCAATGCGTTTGTTTCCTCTGGGAACGGTTTGTTTGCTAGGTTGTCGGCGCCAGTGCAGGTTATCTCGCTCGAGAATGCTCGATCATCTCCATATTCGAACTAGCTGGTTACGGAGATAATGAAGTATTGCCACGCGAAATAATTTGCGATGACCCTGGAAAACCAGGCAAAAAGAAAAACACGAAACAAAAAAAGGCCCCATCTAAAGTTCTCGTAAAGTATGGCTCTCTGTATTGGAAAGATGGACTGCTTGATAGGCTATAAGCACTCTCGATAGGCTTGCCTGTTTTCCAGTGCGGCACATGAACACCTGTTAGGCACTGTAAGCCCCTGACCGACACAGAGCCCCAACAATTGTTTCAGGGAACCAGGCCAAAGTCAATCGTGGCCACCGGCCTTACTTCTCCTTGGGAGATGGACCCCTAGAGTTCAGATTAGCAGGAGCTCATTGTTCGATGTTCTCACGACCCTACGAGCCGCGATTATGTATCTGACCTACAGCCAATCCTTCGGGCTGGCTGTAGATCACATACATGTCCTCCAACTGGGCCCTTGGTCGACGATTTTGGTGGGCCGCCCGGGCCCCCCTGGTCCTCATCGAACACTGACCTTGGTTGGTTCGGAACCCCTTGCAAACACAGAATCCTCTGTTAGACACTGTGGGCCATTGTCAGATCAGGGGACCCAACCAGTGTAAATCGTTGGTCCCGGCTTTGTAACTGACTGGGGAGTGAGCCCACAGGGTCATACCGACTTGAAGCCGACTGCGCGTTAATGGTGGCGCCTGGAGCATTGACTGCCATTTGAGGGTCCCTCCCCGCAGGGTGAGGATAGGCCCCTGAATATGACTCTGACCAGCCCTTCGTGTCCTTAAGCCCTTCAGTCGGTCGTTGATCGTCGGCTTCGGTGGGCCCTCCAGGCTCGTCGGACCTCCTCGAGCACTGCCTCTGGCCGGCCTGGGCCACCTGCCAACACAGAGCCCCCTGTTAGGAGCTGTGGGGCCCTGACAGACGTTGGGAGCCCGACCAATATAAATTGTTCGCCACTGCTTTGCCCCTGCTTTGCGAATGGGCCCTCAGGCCAAAGTCGACACGGAGCCGTCTTAACGTTATTAGGGGTGTCTGACCGACCTACAGACCCTTATCGACTCAAGGGTCTTGACCAGCGTGGGGGCCCTTTGGCTTGCACTGGATTGGCGGACCCAGCGGGCTGAACCACCGAATGCGACCCCCGGCCGGCCTTTCGGGCCCCTAATCGTAGGTCCCGACGGGTCCTTCGGACCCCTTAAAACCTAATAGGGCAATTGCCCCCTGTGCCCCCCGCTCCGCCTCCCCCCCCCTCTGCCTGCGCTACTGGCACTGTTTTACCAGCCTATACATGAATCGGTACCAGTGATACTGGAAAGGTATCTGCAGCGCCACCACTGTGCCGTCGCCGAGAAACACATGCTGAATATACCGAAAGCCGGCAGGGTTATCGGTGTCGGTGTCTTGCGCAGCACCAAATCGGTACTCACGGACTGAAAGGAATGTTTCACATTTGAAGATACTGAAGTAAGCATCAGATATCATGATATTAGCTCACTTATAACTATTGGCATATTTTCATGTGGGGAATACTGCTGTAGCCAGCACAATTTCTCTAATCGGTAAATATGCTCAATGCGCCATTGTTTTGTTGCGTTATGGAAGGGTTGAGCGATAGCACTCAGTTGTAGTTCTTCAATCTTTCGTGATATTGCAGTGATGGTGCTGGATGAGTGCTGAACTAAATATTGGTCGGTGGTCGTGTTTCGGCCCTTTCCTACGGTGCTCTTGCATATTCATCCGTGAATTCAAGATGCTTGCTTGTATTCACACACTCGGTTGTAGTACTTCTCGTAAGTAATGCAATTACATCTCTTATTTCCGTGACGTCTAGGCAGAATAACTAACTTCTGGTATCATGCAGCGCAAACGTCACGTTATTCGCGTCCATCCGACCCCCCTTATTCTCTTTTCTTGCTGTGTCCTGAATCCTCGCGACGCCCCGCTACTCCGGGACAGGCTGTATGCGCCAGCCACGAGTGGGCTGAGAGCCCCCCCGGGAAGAGAGCCCGGGCGCCCAGTGCACACCCCGAGGGGTTCCGCCCCGGCTAAAGCTCGGCGGTTGGCCTCCAAGTGCATGTAGCCCTGTCCCATCGTTATCCAATGTCCTTCATCCATAGCCCTGAAATGGCCATTTCTGGTCGGGAGGGCTCTAATCCAAACACCTAAACTTAAAGGGAATGTTCCACATTTGAAGATATTGAGTTAAGCATCAGATATTATAGGAAATGCTTCCTTGTAACCATTGGTAAGCTTTCAAGGTTCAAAAACGACGCTAAGTAGCAAACGTCAAAGTTTATAAAAATGGGCTCTATTACGCCGTTGTTTGATGGCGTTATGAAGTGGGTTTGTGACGACAGCAAAATCTGTCAGTATCTGGCAGCCAGACCTGAAGAATCCTCGAAACACACGAAAGCTGACGCCAACCGGCCATTCTCGTCGCAGGGGCTGTGTCAGGTGCGGATTACTGGGTGGGTTATTTGTGGATTTTTTGTCTTGGTGCTGGCCGTAAGAAAGGCTTTCGTGGACTGTTTGACATGAGCAACGTAGCGCTCGCCAGCTTTTATGACAGATTATTATATCAAGGCACGATATCCTGCGCTGCTGTTTATCACATATTATTAATATCAAAGCACGATATCCTGCGCTACTGCTGTTGCTGGTTTGCTGTTCATGATTTTGTCAATACTTTATTGTCGACCCATCGTTGCGCGCAGTACTGTAGTCCTGACATTGGCATCATGTGATGTGTACAGTAGTCACCGTCCTTATTGTTTGTAACAGGAAATGGGGTGTCATGCGAAAATTAATAAAGTTGTAATGTTCCCATGCATTCATTCTCAAAGCATTGCTATTGCTATGGTAAATATGATAAGGTTGTGCAACCAATCATTGTTTTTTTTTTGCTTAGGATTATTCATGCAATTAATAGTTAACTCTGATGTAACCCGTGTGGTGCAACAACATGTTTTCCGTAGACAGTCCTTTGGTATTGTTAAATAAGTGTTAACCGGTGGTTCATAAATTGCGAGCTGCTATCTCATAGGCTTGACATAGAGTAATCAACCAATTTGGTACATTGTATAGTGGCACTGGTCAATATCTTAACTGTGGCACTACCTCGGTGCTGCACTGTGGCATGACATAATGAACAACAACATGGTTTTTTCGACTACAATCCATGCCGCCTCCATAGTAAATTCCAGCATGAAAAGATAGGTCAAGCATGCGCTCTTGTATTGACTTCCCATCTGACATATGACTCACCAAAAACACATGATACAATATGAAAATCACTTTTAGCAAAGCAGACAACCAATAAGTGGCATCGCTTGGTCGGCCTGCTTCGGGAATCCCGAAAACACAGGTGAGAAAGATGCAAACACATCTTTCACTTCCATGGTCATGCAACATGCTGTAGCCATCAGGCTGCTTTACTAAAAAATAATACGAAAATTTTACATGTGGTGAAATCACACCGCAAACATGCTGACCTTGCACGAGGCTGGAGACATGACAAGTGCATGTAGGCATGGTTGGATGGGTAAAATACAAGGAAGTGATGAAGCTGCCAGTGCACACTAGGCTCATGATAAGCATATTATTAAGTGCCGTCCAAGACACCAAAAGCAATACTTTTCCACCTTTCTCAGCACCCTGCATCCCACGTAAGCTGCAGTGACTATGACATTGATTACTCAGGAAAAATGCTCGCCTGCATACAAGATTTGTGGAGACAGTACAATGCGCATCAGTAATAATAAAGCTCTATGTTTTCAGAATTATTTAGGGAAAAACGATTTTGCAAAGCCATATCATATGAGTCTCTACTGAGGATGTCCATTAATAAGCTGCACAAATACTCCTAAATGTCCCTACTGCCAAAACTCATTGCTGACATAATGACATGCAATGGATTAATTACAAGCTGGAACACCTCAGTAGGTTCACAATGTGGGCAAGATCGTAATGAAATACCAGTACCAGTACTTGACTTTGTACACTCCTGCAACATAAGTGCTAGTATTACCCTCAGTTTGCCAGCATTCCTTTGTCATGTCCAAACACGAACATAAAGGTAGCGGCAGGCATCATGTTGTGTACGTGATTAGTTGCCCC